CATGCAGGACAGGAGCCTGAAGGAAAAACTCAGCAGATATGTAGATACCGAGAGCAATTCCCATAGCAATGGAGTAAAATGTTCTCAACTCTACAATGTACTTGATGGGTATGACAGATGTCACAGCTGCTAGAGTCAGCAATATTGCAACAATAAGCAGCCAAGATGGCCATGAAGTCATAGATGGAAATGTCATCAGCAGATTGACGGGCAGCTTTAATAAAGTCAGAACGGTAAGTCCATGATAATGGAATCGGAGGCTGCATTAGAACAAATAGGAGACCAGTTGCCACCACCAGCACTAAGCATCTCTTGGCAGTCTGCAAAAGAAAGAAAAGAAAAAGTAATTAGTCAACTAATCTGTGTACAGAAAACTCATGAATCTGGTGTGAGCAATACAAGAACACTTTTTCATCAAGCTGATGAGGATTAATTATTATTCACTTTATAGTAATCTTTCCTCCATGTAGTACCGCAAATTCATTAACATGTCATGATTTCTCCCAGAGTTCAAATACTTACTCAGACATTATTATAAGAACAACATTATGAACTAGCTACTGCATTGGTAATTTATTGCATCACACCCACAATCCAAAAAAGGGTCATTTTCTGATTGTAAACATACCAGGACATGAGAGAAGTGTAGAGCAACTATGGGCACACAAGCCAATCCTGTCAAAATGATACAGTGACCCAAAAGTAAACCATCAGATGGAGGTCTTCCATTCCACCATTGCAGGGCTTCAAAAATTGTCTCCCAGCAGAACCACACCGATAAAGCCACCACAGTTGCATGGGCATAACCTTGCCAAGCTTTCATCTTTGAGGCCCTTTTTGACCTATCCCTGCAAAGTTCAAAATGTGAAGTAATAAGCAAAATCAACCCTAGTAAGAAGAACTATCCCAAAACAAAAACGAACCACAAAGAAAAATGAAGTACATACTTGTAAAGAAGCAATGGAGGAGAAACAGCTAACAAAAGTACCCGTCACCCAGACAACAGACTTCGAAGTAATGAAAAGCATAGCAAGCTTTGAAGAATAGAGGCAACTCAAAACCCAAACCGCTTTTGGTCCAATTCACTGATCCACAGACAGTCTTCTCACTATGGCCAAACCTACTAAAGTTGTCATAATGACCATGTAACTAGGATACATCACCTCATCCTCCATCCCATAGTAGTACATGCTAGAGTAATTATAAAAACGATCCTCAATATGGCATAGCAGCAAGGCATGACTAATCAAACCAACCTCTGTCAAGATATGCAATTTTGACGGTAGGAGAGCTAAACCAGGAATAGCCATGGCCAGGATAATATCCGCAACAATGAGTTTACAAAAGGATTTTAAAGACATGCCTGCCAACCATATATTTAGATCCCAGAAATTGTGAACCACAAACCAAGTGACCATCAAGCTCCCCAGCAGACAAAATGCGAAGTAGGATGGCAAGGATTTCTTTGTTAAAAAACGAGCCAGATACCGAAGGCTGTGGAATCAGCTGCAAAATAAAGATAAATGACATTCTAGTTTTCAGAACATTCAAATCAAAGTTTCTTTTAATTTAACGAAACAAAATTCAATAACAAAATCAAAACGGTTAGTAAACACTGAGTAGATACAGGAGACACATTAAATAGCATAGGGCTTAATTCAAAACACATCCCACAAGAATTTTTTTATGGTAGGTGAAATCTACAAGCAAAGTTTAGGCGAGCACAGTATGAACATAATAAAAACTCAGATCAAGTGCAGCACAAAAAGAAATTCAAGAAGACTCAATGGATTATACCCAGTGCATAAATGTGGAACTGCCATGTACCTAAAGATTATGCATCCTTTAAAGTAGACACTCAAACCATTCCTATATATCTACCTCTTTCATACAATTAATGTACATGGGAATGATCGATGAGGCCACATTTTTCACACAGTTTTAACATTATTCTTACACAAATGGATCAAAACAATTTGGATGGTTAGGATTAAATATAGTATACAAAATTAATGTTCTTTGGAAATACACTATGGTATAAGCAACATCAACCGTCTAAATTACTTGTATCCAACGGTACAAGAATAGGGTAAGAAATCGTGAAAAAATTGTTGTGTCATCTATATTAACCGTATTAGATAGTTTCTAAGATCATGGCATGTAAACATTAAAATCTTTACATATTGAACTTCATATCCTTCATGTAAACATTATGTTGTGGTGAATTGAATTCATGTGTTGGTTTGGATCCTTCATCTTTTCCTGAAAGACAAATAGTTTTCAGATTAGCAAGAGGTTTGGCATCGCTCCCTTTAGTGATAGAATTCAAGATATTGAAATTTTCTTTATTTGTTTTTGCATAAGTTAGACATGGATTTTGAGAAAATTTCATTTTATTTACAATTTTGAGTTTAAATATTTTTATGAAATGTTCAAATAAGACATTTCTGCTTTACAAGTTGTTATAGTAATCTGAGACTGTTCTTCTCTTTGACATCATATGCTTGAACATAAAAAGAACTTGCTCTTGATTTCCTTGTCATTTGCTTTACAAGTTGTTATACTACTCTCTTTGGAATGAATGAAATAAACCCAAAACTAGCTACCTTTATATAAGATTTTCCAAGTAGATCCGATGATCCAAATTCTTACATATCCGTTGAGATAGACCAGGATTTAGTGTACCGGCAATAGAATAGTCTTATTCTGTTGCTTTTTCGGTGAAGGAATATTTTGGAAGCCTTTAGAGATATTCTCTAATATATTCCTTAATATTTTTGGTCAAAGATGCGCGTTTGCATCATCGTCTGTCCTGGAAGGATCAGAATCTTCCCCTCTATTAGAATTGGGTTGAATCACTAGATTCCTACACCTATTTTTGCAGCAAAAGGGCGCTTGCCCGGCAGTCAAATGTGGCTTTCCTAAGTTAGATATGGCTTTGGTATTGATATTTGAGAAGGATTTCTATATTTATTAGGAGTATATAGTTGTAGTTTCCTATTTTGTTTTATAGATAAGGCCTTAAGTTATAATTTTTGAAGGAGTAAAGTATGAAATAATACGATGAACAAATGGTCTTCTCCAAAACTCCTGAAACCCAAAAGTTGCAAACCCAGTAGCTATAAAATCATAATTTAACCTCACGGTGCCTTACTACAGAGTAATACTATATATACAATATTTTTATATAATATGATGTGACAAAAGATGATTAGATAAAAAATTATTTTTAATTTAAAATCAGTCATTTATCACGTCATATTGTATAAGAAATATTATTATACCTTTACCGAAATAACAAAAATCTTTCTATCAGTTACTTAAGTGTTAGCAAAATGTAAATTGTTATGAGTTAATAAATATTACTAAACTAAATTTTTCTTTTATCGTTTATTTTAATACATAAAACTTAATAGTACCATGATTTCTGTTATTTCAAAAACATTAGAAAGATTAATGTCATTAACTTTAAAATAAAATACAAAAGCAACTTGAATGTACATTTATGTAGATGGAAAAGGATTGAAATTGTAAAATAAATCAAAGTTATCCTATGCGTCTAAAAGTCTTTGGTAGAGGCTGCCTTCTTATTTAAGTTATGACTAGAGGGGTGAAACAAGTTTTTAGATAAGTATTACTTAAATAAAATAAATATATATTTGCAAAAATATATATAAGAACGATAAGGTATAGAAATCAAACAAAATGATGAATATTACCCAATCCTAGTCCCTAAGAATTAAGTCACAACCTTCCAACGTTAGAATAAATTTTAAGGAATATTACAAAAACTTGGGCTTCGTTTGTTTCACTTTTGGGAATACTATTATTAGTATTCCCAAAAAAGTTAAACAGTAAAATGTTATTATTCCCAAAATATTATTTTATATTTTTTAATTTCTTTTAAACCTTCTAAATTTGTTAATTTAACTAAACACCCCCAAATATTTTTTTTAGAAATTACAAAAACACTCTGACCACCCTCCGGCAATGGTGGCCGGCTGTCCATATTTAATGGGTGGGTTGGGAGTGTTTTATTTAACTTTTAATATTTTATTATAGGGGTGTTTAGTAATTAAACAAACACAGGGATTTTTTTGTTAATTTCCAAATGCTACATCGTAATACCCGCCCAATTTAACTTTTTTTAAAATATTATTCTAAAAACTATCAAAATAATGAACCAAACGGACATGTTTGAGTTAAAAACAAAATTCCCTTGAGCTTTCAAAAATAGCAATTATCCCCCTATTGTTAAATTGCCATTACAAAATTTATGTTATACTAAACAATTAAAGGAAATAAACGTATTTACATATAATTTAATAATTAAAATAGATAATAAACAAAAAATATGAGTTTTTAGTAAATCCATTCACTTAATTAAACCTAGGTGCGATGGGGTTAAGGTGATGGGTTTCAACTACTGAGTTTGTAGCGTTTTTTTTTTTTTTTGTTTTACTGGGGGTGTTTAGGTCAGCTTACACTCATTTCAAACTAATTCTCTGAGACCCTGGAACTATCGGTTGGATAAGAGTTTTAATGACTATCTCTATTAGTAATTGAAGAAAGACTCGAACTTAAGACTTTTTAAGTAATACACTCAAAAGTCTCTATCAAATCACTCGATCAGAGGTAGTTGAGTTTGTAGCTAATGGGTTTGCAATTTCTGGGATTGGGGTATCTTTTTTTTTTTTTTAAATAAGCATATTTAAGCACTGTTTTTGTGTGGTTCTTTGGGTAGGAAATGGTTACTATTCGTAACTCTGGTTTATGAATTGTAATTATTTTTATTGATTTTTTTCTGGGGTATATTTGGAATTTTAGTGGTGTCATGGTAGGGTTGGGGCGACGAAAATGGGTGATGTTGACAGTGTTACACGTTGTAAGGCATACTCATATTCATCCGAGGATTTCTGTTACTTCGAACGGAGCTTCCTTATTAATTACAGCAATTCTTCTGATGTTTCTCACTCCCCTTGCTTTGATCAAATCCCACTTATTCGACTAGACCTGCTGTTGATCGTCTAGTCATCATCGTTCTTGATGCCCTCAGGTATTTCTTCAATTCACTCTCTCGCTTCTATTTTTCTAACCTAATGTTTTCTTTTTTCAGATTTGATTTCGTTGATCCCACTCCCAGTTCATTTTTTCAAAGGTCCATTCAACTGCATTTTCCAATGGAGGTACTTTTAGTTTATTTTTCATGTATTACTCAGACACTGTTGTAGCTAAAAGCCCTTTTTGTTGTAGTGATAGCTTCGGTGCTCCAGCCATTGTTGAGGATAACTTCATACATCAGGTTCGTTGCTCTTCTCTCTTACCTTTATTCCCTTTGGTAAATGTAATCACAGAAGAATTGAAGGTCCAGGGAAATCAGTAAACTTTCATCATAACAATATTGCACAAATGCAGTTGGCACATGTCTTTTCTTCCATAGCTAACATTCATCCATTAACAGATACTTTTTTAGTAATTTAAGTGGAATGATGGGGCTAAGTGCCTGTTATTTACCCTTGTTCTTATTTTCATGCAAGTCATATCACTTTTTACTTCCATGAAAATTCATTCATCTAATTTATCGATTCACTTGCAGTTGGAAAGCGGCTAGTGATGATGGGGGGGTACAGTTGTTTCCTAATCATTTCAAAAAATCTTATCCTTGCCCTCTTTCAATGTTAAAGATCTTCATACGGTATGCTGTTTAAGGTTTTTGTTTGCATCCAAAATTGAATAAGCCTTTTTTCCATGGTCAAAGTTTTGATGGCATTTTCTGTTTCAGGTGGGCAATGTATGTATTGAGCACCTATTTCTGTCTTTGTATGAAGAAGATTGGGATGTCCTTATTGCACATTTTCTTGGTGTGGTATGATTCGGAAGCTTTTTTTTGTCTCCCATAACCAATGGACTATAGAAATACAAAGTAAAGAAGAAAAAAATCTACAATTCCACTTGTTGAAAGCAAATATAACTAGTCGGTGTTGTCGCATATCTCCTCCCCCAATTGTTTTAATCTCTTCACAATAATGGCATTTTTACTATTTATATCTCTAATAATGTGCATAAAATTATCATATTTGTTCCTTGCTGCAATGTGCAGGCTGTATCGGAGAATTTAGTTTTAATTATTTTGCTTCAGAAAGTGATAAGAAGCCAGTCAGAACCAGGTGGCATACATGAGAATACTTTCCTTCTTGTGATGGGTGATCATGGTGGGGGTACTGCTGATTCTATAACGCCTATTTTCTTCATCTGTTGTCCTCATTGTTTTCTTTCTAGTATAGAAATATGAGATAGTTTCCAATTAAACTGAGGAAAGAACAAGCATATATATAGTCATTAGAAATACAAGCATAATACCAAATTTATTTCACAAGATGAAGAATCAAGTTCAAATGGTATGGAGGATGGAGGCTGTTTAAAGCTCATACCGAAAATTGATGCAACATACCATTCAAGTTAGAATGACCGAGGAATAATATACCAAGTCAAGTTTTAATCAAAAGCAAGATAAATATCCCACCTCTTCAGCAGTATGGGTGTAACAGTGTTCCATTCTAAAACTACAAGACTGCGTCTGGTTAGACGGCATTTACATTACCATGTTTACCTGTTAAGTAATATAAGATTCTTGTAATCCTTCAAAACAAATAGTAATTACTGTTGATTATATAAGTGATAATCTAAATACCACAATTTTCTTAGGTATTCTAAGATTAGTTGGTAATATTAATTTTGTTATAATTTTATCCCTAACGAGTAAAATTTTAGACAATAATACCCTCATTTTGAAAACAATTTACAAGAATATTCATGGACTATTGTATCCTTATACACATTATTTTTAGGACATTATTACCCTTACACTTCCATCGAATTACCCAAGGCAGATGGCAGAATCTAGCCAGCGACGACTATGGTCGAAACGGCGCACGATTGATCAGATCAACCAACTGTACGCTAATCTGGCCGAAAACGGCTAAATCTATTATGCCCGTTTTCAACCACATTTGTGGTCGTTAACGGTCAGATCGACGCTCAGTTGGCCATATCCAACTAGTTATGCACTGTTCAGGCTACTGTCGACCGCAACCAGTAGTGGCTTGGGTGAATGGTGGTGATTTTATTAAAATTTATACTTTAATTGTGGTTGGGGTGTTTTAGCAAAAGCTCAAATGTAGGGGGTTAAAAGAAATTGTTTAGATAATAATAATATTATTATTACTATTATATTTAAAAATAAGGACAATTTAGTAATCTATATTACATATCCATCAATTTATTATAATCTAACGAAACACTTCTAATATAACATTCTTAATAATCTTCAAGGTAATCTATTTTCTCGTTAATATAACATTCACAGTAATACAACATTCCCTGAACTGAACACACCCTAAGAGTGTAAGTGTTTTATTCTAAATCATGTGGATCTTTTGTTCTTTCACTAAACCTCACGGGTGTACATGTAAAAACCTTAGAAAAGTATGGGTGGGTTAGTTATTAATTATTGGATTTTTTTTTTTTCATTATTGATTTTGTATAAGAATACAAAAACAAACATTAGATTTGTAATGTTTTTATTATTACAAACTTTACTTTCGATATGAATATAAAATATTTATCACCATTTTATTTTGCCAAGTATCTAAATTAATTGAGAAATGATCACATTATATTAAACTCTCCTTGTTAAGAAATTAATTGACACATAATAATTTATAGATTTTTTTTTTTTTTTTTCATTCCTCTACATACAAGACATACTTATGAAAGTCATAGTCTATAAATCAAACAGCCTAATCCAATCGGATATTAACATGCTTTATCCTGAAGACACACCCTCAATATACCAGTAGGGCAAGCAGACAACCAATTCAAAGGCAGAGAATCTGAAACTGCTAACCTTGCATCTTCATGCACTAACATATTAGCTTTTCTATCGATCCGCTGAAAAAATACCATTGAAAATACATAATAAGATAAATCCCAGTTAACTTTTTGGACCAATTTGGCCCAAACCAGCTATTTCTGTAACTTCTCTTGGCCCATTTGGGGCAGAATTGAGGCCCATGGGCTTGTTCATCAAGGCAAATCTACTTCTTTACTGGCTTAAATTTGATTTTCATATGTCAGAAAAAATAATGACATATCCCTAAATTTTAATATTGTTATTTGATACCTTCAGGTTACGATTTGTTGGTGGATCCAATTTAAGAGATTGGAAAAATGAAGTTACTGCACTTATGATTCATGACTTAAATATTAAATTGCCTAAGCCTAACAAACATGCCAACCTTTAATAGGATTAATTAATTTATATCCTTAAAAATATCGATACAAATTGATACAATTTTATTAATTTGGTTTAGGTCGGGTTGAAATAGATAGGGTCGGATCCGTGTCACCTAGCTCGGTTCACTAAAACTTGCCAAAATTTACCAATTTTGCATGAAGAAAATGAAGAAGAAGATGTGTTGCCCATTTTGCATGATAATAATAACACAAGTGGAGATATATATATTGACGTTAATCTTGGAAATGATATAGATTCTTAATTTTATGATTAATTTTGATTATGTAAAACCACAATTTAAAGCCAATAGTATCATAAAATTTGTTAATTAATCTTAGAGATGATATTAATTTTTAGAAATTTTGTATTATTATATTTTTTTTTTTTGGGAAAAGGAGTATCCTACAATACAATACATGATTTAAAAAATTAGGTTTTTAATACACGATACGATACAAGATTTGACAACCATGATTCGGATTAATTTGTGTACACCTCAACTAATCTCGAGGGCTCTGAAACTGTTGGTCGAGCAAGAACCCAAACCTCTATTAGCTTCTAGGAGAGACTCGAACTTAGGAATTCATAGAACCTCTTTTTGCTCTTTTACCATCTAACCACCCTTCAATATTACCCTTTTGACTCTAGAAAATGGATAAAAATTTAACAAAAATGAAAGTTTAGATGAATATGATATTAATTTTCAAACTTTAATATTGACCAACAAACGTGTACCACACAAGTCACAACTATGAATTACTTTAATTACCAAAATGACCCACTATGAAAAACTGAAAGAATAAGGGAAAGATTTTATCAGTCCTCTTAAGTCATTTTCAATTAATTGTTTTTGATAATCCAAAAATGGAAATAGTAAATGGCCTCACCTTTGAATTGAAGAAGTGATAAGAAAGAAGGGTGTAAGGGAGAATAAGTTAAAGACAGATTTTTGTGGTGGAAAAACATTGAAACTAGTAGACAAATTTTCAGAATCAACTAGATAAGACTTCAAAACTAGCAACTCCTTCCTTTTATGGAAGTCTTACGTTCATATTTGAACAACCCTAATCAGATTTGGAAGTTTCTGTGTACACCCGCATCTTGACTGGAAGTTTGAGTCTGTTTTCATCCTTTTCCCAAAATGGGTTGTTTTCAAATTATATAACAAAAATGTCTTTGATTTTGACTCTACAAAATAAGCTTTGAAAAGGGTTAACGTTTTTGCAAGAATAATCAGAATATTTTGCAGAGCGCAAGAACATTTATTAAAGGAAGTTTCACAAACATTACAATAAATAGAAATCTGTGCTTACACTCAGAAATAAATTTAAATACAATTTACAGTTTACAGGAATACTCTATAATTGTTGCAGTTTCGAATCCCGCTCAGAGCTCACCTAACTTTCCAGGGAGCAGAATGACAAATTGTTGGACTGATTTTGAGTAACAGATTTGTTTTTTGTTTTGGCTCTTTAATTTTTGTGATTGAAATAATGGGATGTGGTTATGGTGGATGATGTTGTTGGTGTGGGAAGCTGAAACATGTTGCGGACAGGATTTATTTGTTGCTGGTGGAGTTGAAGAGTAGCTGAATTCGTGCTAGTAGTAGTGGAAGAGAATCCTGATGATGCTGCGATTGATAACACTGGCATTGGAGCTACATTGCCATGGCCGTGCATTTGCCATGCCCAGTTTGTGAATCTCGGTGAAGATACAGAATGAACCCTCTTCTCTATATTCTTATCCTGCTATGGCCAAGTGACATTATAATTTATTCAATCAGTAAAAACCATTGAATCGGATTAAATTTTTAAGTGTATGATTTCGAACTTTGGCGAGAGATATGATACCTCATAATTTGGAAGTAAAAGAGGATATACGCCCGCAAATGTTGAAGGATGTTTGGGTGGCATTGTTAGAGCATGAGGATGTTGTTGTAGTTGCATTCCAACAGAGGCATATGCAGAGCTTTCAAGCTGTGTCAATGGAATCCGCAACAAAAATGATCAAAGATTTGATCAATCAACACAAAACTGATTTCAAAGTTAGGGATAGAATGTTAATTACCACTAGCCTTTCTTTGTTTGGCATTTCTCGAGCGCCGCCACATCCAAAATGGAAATTCCCAGAATTGTCATTTCCATTTGAAGACGTAGCAATTCCAAGGGTCAAGTCTAGATTGTGGTCACTGCCTGCAATTCAAACAATAAGAAAATTCACTTTTTTTCACAAGAATATGTATCAATCAGGAACTTAAAAAATTATGCAGAAATTTTTTTGTAGTACCTCCATTGTTGGAATCTAAAATCATTTCCTCTTCATAAGAACTTGGTTCAAAATTGGTTACTGCATCCCTTCCATGATATCTGATGGCAGCTTTGTCATAGGCCCTGCATTCATAGAACAAAATTTTAGACTTCTTCTACAACTAACTTTCTTTTTTCTCTTAAACTGAATTATTCTGAAGAAGAAAGAATTCAATGATCGCTAAGACCTTGCAGCTTCTACTTCCTTGTCGAATAAGCCAAGATAAATATACCTGCGAGCATGCATCATAATTTTTCAAAAGGAGAGATGCCAGCCTAACAACTTCTCTTTAGATTTTACCATGACTTAGTCAGATATTGTAACACAACGTACACAAAATTTCAATCACTAAGATCACATATCTAACACTAGAATAAAATTATAAATGAAATTCAAGTTTCATCAGTTGATGGGTTAATTCAATATTCTTACTTCTTTCCAAGAAGCTGACCCATTCTAGCTTCCCATCTCCCACATTTGTGCAAGGTTACACCTCTGTATCTTGATGTCCCTCTGGAAAATCCGGAGCTTTCGCGACGAAGAACAAGCACAAATTCTTCTTTTGCTAGATGCTTGGTCTGCAGATGGATCAATCAAAATTACAAATAATTAATATGCAATACACATATGGGGTGAATAATAATTAATATCAAGTGATTATTATTAATTTACCTGTTTCATGTCTTCATCATAATCACTGACATCAAAATTGAGATCAGCATCAACGCCACGGAACTTAATTGCAGCCTTATCATATGCCCTGAAATTACAAGATCCATGTTTAGAAAAGCATGATAATTAAGGTTAGCTTCTCATAATCAAAAGGCATAGAAAAAGAAAAGATTCCCACCTTGCAGCAGCATGAGCTGTGTCAAATCCACCTGACAAAGTAAAAAAGGGAAATTCAACAAGAAATTAATCACCCTCAACTACCATAATTATCACTGATCTTTTATTTTATTTATTTTTCTTTTAAAAAAAAAAAGGAAAAGAAAATCATCAAGAGATCATCTTCTTAGTTCTTACCCAAATATACTTGCTTTCCACAATCCCTGCACAGATCATTGAAGAAAACACATTAACAAAAGTAGATATATTAGAAAAAATTTCTTTTAAATGAACCCATGAAATCTTTATTACCATATGTGTGATTCCCAACGGCTGGTTCTGCGATAAAATGTCACGCCGCGGTACTGTGAGCTTCTAGACCGAGGGCCTCGCCGGCTCTTTCGAACTTGTTGTTGCTTTTGCTGCACGACTTTCAGTTCTTGCTCTCCACTGGAATCAACGTGAGATAAATTTAGCCACGTTTGAGGCCTTACCCTGGACTTCACCGCACCGAATTCAGCTTCTGCACCTGCTTTTTCTCCGATGACCGGGAAAAGTTGCTGCGTGACGAGAGCTTTTGAGGAAGTAGTAGTGGTGGTGTTGTCATCAACTTGGATTATGACGTTCTTTTGTTTGTCTTTCTTCACGATGTCGAAGATCAATGCGGAGGAAGAGTTGTTCGAGGAGTTCTCATCTCCGGCATTGGCTTGCGGCTCTTCACAGTTGATGATGGAGGAGTTCGAGGTTCCGGAATCTTCATGGCCGAGATGTTTCTCAGCTGCATCTATTATCATCTTTTTGTCGTCATCGCAAAACGACGACGATTCACACGAAACAACGTCAAGATTAAGATCCAACATCATGAATTACAAATATTCAAGTTGCCTGTTTATAAGGGAAAATCAAAACTCATTTGGTAGAGTTAAAGTTTTTTTTTTTTTTTTTTCGCGTAACGGTTGAAGGTTGAAGAAGAAGAAAACCTTAAAAGAATGCACTTGTAAAGTAAAGAGAAAGGGAGAGATGATGAAGGAAATTAATGAAACGGGGCGAGTGTCAGGTTTGTGTGGACAAATGGAGAAGAGAGAGAAATGGCCTGCAGAGATAAAGAGAGACAGACAGAGAAGGAAGATAAATAGTTATAGTCGTATGTTTGTTTGATAGAGGGATGTAAGTGTAAGAAATTAAAAAAAATAAAGGATATTAATTAATAAATTAAAAGTGGTAGTAGTCTAGGTTGTAGTTTGTTTGTTTGATAGAGATAGAGGGATGTAAGTGTAAGATATTAAAAAAAAATAGATATTAATTAATAAAGTAAAAGTGGTAATACTAGGACTCCACCTCAATGGGCCTAAAGGGTAAAGACTAAAGAGACGGAGACGTTTTAACTGTTAAGCTATCATTATTATTAGTCACTCTTTCTTGCTTCACCCAAAATTCTTCTTCTTTTTCTTTTTTTCTTTTTCTATTTCTATTTCTTTTCCTTTTAAACATCATTACTTAGTGCCAATGAAGCAGAGATTAATATTATGATTAAGTTCATAATTTATATTTAATTAATTAACAAGTCAAACTAATTGATTATGACTTAATGCATGGAGGAATTGATCTAATTAATATATTTTTTTTTTTTTTTTGGGTATTCGGGTGTGTCCATATTAATTTACATGCACTTCAATTAGTCTTTTGAATAGGGCTCACTCAAGGGATAGGCAGGTGAGGCACCTGCCTAGGGCCCCCCAAAAATAAGGCCAAATTTTTTATAATTTTTTTTAATATATTACAAAAATAAAAATAGTGTATAATTTTTTATCTAAGCCAATTCAAGGGACTCCAAAAAAAAACCAAAAATGTCCAAATTTATTATAAACTTTTTACATTATTCTCATCCAAAGTTTAACAAAATAGCAAGTTTATACCTTTAGTTTCATATATTCTAATTTACACCCATAAATTAACACATTTAATTTCTTCTAACAATGAAAGGCTAAAATAACCATTTATATATCTCAAATTACTCACCCCCAATTCAATCCTAAAATTTGACATTCACATAAATCATTTTCACCTCTCTTCCGTTGCCAGCCGTTTGGAGCTAATTCTAGTCGATTTTTTTCACCAAAATCAACCAGAACCATCACTTTATCATTTTCCATGTGTTTTCCTAGCCTTAATAACCCTCGATTTGGGCCATTTTTTACGAATCTCGCAACCTAGCTCCACCGCATGTGCCAACAATTTTCGGCCTTTTCGGCATGTACTTGGCATCGTCGGCCTTCCCCAACACCACCATTTTCCTCCCCTTTGCCTTCTCACCAAAACCCCTATTATACCGCATCTGTTTACTCCGCCGATCACTGGCCACCGATACCTTTTGGGCTGCGACTTCTCAAGTCTTTTTCGGTCAATCCTAGCATTGAAAATCACCTATTTCACCACCCATCGCTTCTCCAGCATTTGCCCCCACCAACCTAACCCCGTTAGCCCGTTAATCGTTGTTTATCTCTCCTAGTGATTTTGCATATTAAAAGGCGAGAAAAATAAATTTAAAATAATTTTTTTAATATATGCTTATATTATTAGAAAACTTCCAAAGTAACTTTTACAAAAGGTTACAAATGTTCTTGAGACGACTCTACTCTCGGTGTTTTAAATTTACTGATCAAGTAAACCTCAAATGACTATTTAGATTCGAACTCATGACCTCTTAAGTAATACACCAAATAGTTTCAAGCACATCGCCTAAATACCTAAAAGTAATTTAATTAATACTTATTAGAAAACATATAAGTGAAAACGGCGACGAACTGATTTTCAAAACATCGTATTTGAATTTCGTTTGCCTAAAAGTGAACATCACATGCGGCGTTCAACTTGGTCGGCGGGCGGTCACCAATCTACGCGCTACTTGTTTGTGTGATTTTGATTTCTCACATAAAAATCATATGTTATAATGCCGGAGTCTAGAGCAGGTAATAATCGTGAACAACCGTGACCACATTCCTTTTTAACAATTGGTCCCATGTTAGGTTTAGCTGATCCACGTGGCGTCCAATAACAGATGAAAAGAAATCGACGGAGAGATCATGGCCTAATCTACAAAATCATGGTGGACAACGTTGACTATACCAAAAATAGCACTTTCCAATCTAAAGGACCACCCTGTCGTGTGATGATCACAACAAAAACGGAAAATCCAACGGCTGGGGCCGCCTGTTGTACCTAAAATTGGTACCCACACAGAAGTCGGTAACGTGGCTTCAAACGGTACGTTGCAACTTGCAGCAGCAATTTGTAAATGCATGTGATATTTCCTTAATCGCAAGTAAATGACGGAAAAGGACAGAGAAAAAAACGAATAAATGAGTGGGTATTTTATTTCGCGGGATTTGTCTTGTACCTGAAATTTATGACTGACGTGTCCTGGATGGTCCAGAAGAAGGGGGGATGATTTGGTGTCTCACTTAGACATTAAATTATTATACCTAACTATCGTGGAGTGATTTTGATAGGCCTGATTTATTTGATCAGAACATCATCCGTGATGAATCATGATATGGTTTTGATTTTTTATTGTCAGAATTGTTTTTTTCTATTTAAGGAGTGAGCGGATATATCATAGAATTTCTAGAGCCAAAGAAGAGAATCACGTGTCTGATAAGCCTGACCACGTGTCTGATAAGCCAGACCGTCTCTTCCCTTCAATCAAAAGGCACAAAAAGTTAATGGCACCTTTGGACCACAAAAATGCAGCGTCTGAAATTACATTTTTGTCCCTCTTGTCAATTCTTCACCCATCATTCCATGACCCCCCAACCCAATCCAACCCAACCCAACCCAACCCAAAAAAAAAAAAATAATTTGTTTATTTTTTAATAAGCCTCTAAAATTAATTAAATTTAAAATCTCTTAAATAATACATTTAAGAATCTTAGTTTACCGTTTAACTATTTAATGATGGTTTAATAAATAGTTAATTAAAATTTTGTACAACGACAGTATATTAGCACGAGAGTGGGAAAAAAAAAGAAAAAGTTTAGGAGAAAGGAAAATAAGATTTTAGAGTATAAGGACAATAAGTCAAATTTGATAAAGAAAAAGGTAGATTATAGATCCAACGCGAAGAAGAATGAAAAAAGTTTAATGTTTGGTGGCTAACTTTTGACATGTTGCAATTGTTTGTAATCACCATTTTTGTGTACTTGCCATAGATTTAATATAATAAATAAATATTGATCTTCCTTAACGAAAAGGTAAGTATGTTGATTGATTTGGCATCTTTTCTCCGTACACTAAAATGTCAATACCATATCTAATGTTAGATGGAAAAATGCAAACTATAAAGCTAAACTTATCAACCAAACAAAAAAAAAAAAAAAATATATATATATATATATAAATTAATATTCTTAAATTTTATTTTCATTTAGTTGGTGAACTGAAATTTATTATTCTTGATATAAATGCAATAAGGAGAGGAACATATAAACCACATAAATAAAATAAAATAATAAAACATTTATGTAAGGAGTATTTTAGTAATTTAACATGAAGGCAACCACCAGTCCCACGGTGAAGAAAAGATCAACGATGGATAGGAGAGAGAGAAACCTTAATGGAGACATATTTTTGTTAACTGATACCAATATCTTCTCCTATAAATTTTATCTTACAATATCAACGAGATAATTTATAATTGATTTATTCCCGTAGATCTTATTAATTAATTATGAACTGTTATATCAACGCTGAGAAAAAAAATTTACAGGAAATGATTCTTAGTGAAATATTCATTTTCAATCATTTTCAATCAAACCAATCAATGGAAAGTGATGATAAACAAAGTGGGGAAATCTGGAACGTTCATTTGAGTGATTGATTGATTATTGGTTAAGATTAGATAAGACAGAAGAGCAAAGAATCTTTTTTATTTATTTTTTCCTTCCTCCTACATAGACTTTTCCTCTTAGGGTAATCTTGTACCTTAAAAAATCTCTATATTATATTCCCATTTCCTCCTATAGTAATATAAGCAACACCACAATATTTTTGACTATTTATTTGATAATTACATTATTTATTTATTTATTTATTATTGTAATTATACATAATGGTTATCTTCTAAGTGGAGAAAATGATATTTCTTTAATGTTTCTTTTGACTATGACTCCTCTTAAATGTATTTTATTTCAATTTTTTTTTTAATGGTCAAGAGTGTTTGACTTCAACTAATTATTTGAGACCTTAGAACTACTGACTAGATAAAAATTTTAATAATTACCCTTATTATCAACCAATGAAGAATTTGAATTCAAGACTTCTTGAATAATACACACAAGAGTCTCTATCGACTCACTTAATCATCTAGATATAGTTTAATTAGTTTTTTTTTTTTATTATTATAGGTGTTTGGGCCAGTTTACACGCGTTTCGACTAATCCTTCGAGGTCATGAAAGTTGACGATCGGGTAAGCCCCTCAGTGGCTACCCCTATTATGACCTGTGAAGACTTTAACTCAAAAACTTATGGAATCTTTTTTTTTTTTTTTTTACTATCAGAGCATCGAGTGGTGGTTGTTCAATTAGTTTATTGCTAGTAAGTTTTGCATTACATTTCATGATTAAGTGTGGAATTATTCAAAATTTAAATACAGATGACTATTTAGTGTCATGAAAAAATTAATTAATATTATATTAAAGATCAGTAGACTTGATAAGATTATAATTTGATCAAACTTATAAGTTGACTTTAGATCAAGGAAATAGTATAATTTCATAATTTAATTTAAAACTTTGAATTAATTAATTTTAATGAAAAATTAAATTATTTATTGTCAGCTCAAATCTTCTGTTCAACTTATATAACCAAAATTTTGATGTCGTGAACCAGAGACTTCCTATAAATAATTTATACAATTACTATCATATATCAACTTTCTTTGTATTCCAGCGAACCATGCTCCGCCACGTTCACATGAAATTCCCTTTATAAACCACGATAAGGTGACGTGGGCAAATTGAAAAGTAAACATTCATTTATTGGGTATACACACGAGCTTTTAAGCGCGTGTACACTAAAAAAGTAATTTAAAAATGGTAAGAGAGTGGAGCTTGGTGATGTGACCGTACATGGAGAGTGCGGCACACATACTCCACAAAACGTCATCGCTTAGATCATAATATGCCCTTACTTTATATTAAATTAGAAATAAAAAAGGGTTAATTAATCATTTAAATATTATGTGAAATAAATAGTTGTCTTTTTTAATAGTTGTTTAATTTATTTGTTGGATTGGTGATTTTATTATATTGTCTGTTAAGAATAAGATTCAACATGGTAGGGCGACAAAATAAATATTTTTAAATTAGAGTGTATTGAAGGAATTCAACCAAAGAAAAATTAGAGTTGTTAGATAAAAATTAATTAATTTTTCATACTTAAATTATTTGTATATATTTTAAAATATCAATAAAAAAGAAAGGCTTAAATCCAAAAAAGTGAAGTATGAAAAAGTAAAATTTTAAAAGTAAGGAATATATCATTGGTAGGGCTAACAACTGTTCATGGTGTAGACACATTATGTCATATAATAATTCAATAAATCGTTGAAAATTGAGAAATATTAAGTTAAAACATTAAAATGAAGTCAAATCAGACTATTTTTTTCGAAAAAAACCATACGTGTAGAATTTCAAGAGTAAATTCAACTCAAGTACGTAATTTATATTCTCAATTAGTTATGAGAAAATCAAATACCATATCTTATTAGATTATTCATGGATTAGGGTTATTATATGTGATACCCTGGTCCCCCATCAGCATAGAACAATTTACTTTTAATAAATCTCCATATAAATCTATTATTAAATCAAATTCCCTCCTTGTAAAACACAAAAATACACTTGACAAACGTACTAGAATCAATACCTCATGTATAACCCTAAACAGAAACACAAAAAGCTTAATAAGAAAAAAGAAATTAAAATTTGGATTACCATACACAAATACAATCTACAAAAACTGCTTCTGGGGTGGTCATATGATTGAACAAAGACTCTTAAACGTGTTACTTAAGAGATTTTGAGTTCGAGTTTCTTCGATTGCTAAAAAAGATGACCACTGAAAAGTATACCTTGAAGCAGGGGCGGATCCAACCAAGTTTTGGGTGGGTCCTCAACTTAAAAAAAAAAAAAATACTAACATATATAGTTTTTAGATTTTGGTCCACCTTAACAAAAATATTAATGTATAATTAGTTTTTATTTTGGTATACTCTAACAACAATTTCTGAATCCACTACTACCTTGAAGAGGTTGCTAATAAGAATGTTCACGGGAAAATATACCTTAAAGATGTTGCTAATATGGATGACTATTGAAAAATATACTTTGAAGAGGTTGTTAATAGGATGGTCATATGAAGATATATCCTGAAAAAGTGTATACAAATTACCAAAATACCCTGATTACAAGAAAAAGCTAATAAAGATGATCACCGAAAGTTATGCCATGCCCTAAAAACGTGCATGTAAACTATCGAAATACCCTGTTACAAGAAGAAAAAAAAAAAAAAAAAAAAATCTAGAACCATACAAATATATTGCTTTTAAATTAATAATAAAAACAAAATATTCTTTCTTTAGACTTGATCAAACTTCCCTTTTGAGTTACTCCAAACCTAAAAAGCCAGCTAGTAGTCATACCCAATACCTATAATTAGTTAAAAAAAATAAAAAGGAAACTTTAGTTGAAGCAAGTGGATGAGGATACAAAGATATTTATAAATAAAAAATAATAAAATAAAGTAAAAGTTGATAGGATATGAATGTAATACGTGTAAATTGTCGGCAGGGGTACGAGGTTTTAAAGTAAAGTGGGCGACGTGGACACTTTCTACCCTTTCGAATCAAAGTCTTCGCTTCTCTTCCTTCCTTTTTGCCCTTCTTTTCAACTTTATTTACTTTATTGTCCTTCCGCTTGTTTACTTCACGTGTTTTTTATTTTCTCTTGGACACCTGTACGATTAATCATACTGTTTGTATTGTGGCCGATGGGATGACATGAGACCTGAGAGATGAATGAAGAAGCGATGATGGCGGGAAACACGTGCAAAACGATGCGTTTTTCTTTTTCTAGAAGTGAAAATCATCCGGTTCTTTATAAGCGTGCGGTTCGTGTTACGCGTGTAATTAGTAATATATATTTAATTATGTTTATGTTTGATTTTGGACGCTAACGGCTCGCACGTGGAAAACGCTGAGCTGACTCTAGAGACACACGTGATGGATCCATGAGATTTGAATATAGAACTGAGATTATATATTTTGCAGAAAAATAAATAAAAGATTGGCAAGAGGGATTTTTATAGTGGTTCGGATGCTCAACAAGCGACTCTTACATCCACTGTTATTTTATTGCTTATTGACCATTTCTATGATTTTGCCCGTAAGGCATACAAAGATGAAAAAATACAGTGTTTGCAGAGAAAGAATGAAATGAAGCTCAAATCTCAGCACAGCCCCCTTATTCGGAAAGAGGAGTGCCAATTTATACACCAAAACACTCAATGTAATGAGTGTTTTGCAAGTTGCCTTGACACATAGAAGGCTCTCGTCCATTCATTTCTTGAAAGGAGATATGGTTGGTGAGAATATCTTTGGAGATATGGGCTTGGCAACTGGTACAAGAAGACATTAAATGAGCTGACATAGGCGTGACTTTTGAGGCATAATAAATCACAATAATACAACGGTTAAAGAACAAAAGAATGATCTAACATGACTTTAAGTTCGAGTTTCCTTAAAGGTAAAGGAGTGAGAGAAGGATCTAACATGGTCTCTCAAACTCGAGTCTCAACGATTGCTAATAAGAGTGACCACTGGAACTCGTATCTGATTAGTAGTTTTAAGATCTTGAGAGATTAATTGAGGTATACATAAACTTGATTCATAAATCTTAAAAAAAAATATAAAAAAAAATTACATTTTGATTAATATCAATTATTGAAATTAATTATTATATAATAAACATGGTTGTGATGTTAATTTAGGTTAACCATTGTTTTCAACATAATTTCAAGGCTCAACTAAAAAAATCTCATGTTAAAAAGTCACGAGTTTTCATATGATTATGTCTTAATCAAAAATAAGTTTTTAAGAATTAATTACATTAACCTAAAAAGTTTTAAAATGTCAAACAAAATCTTTGACTTTATATCTACATAAATTTTCTTGTTATCAATCATTAAAGAACATCGTAGAAGATAGAATTCTTCTTTAAGATTTCCAAAAAAAAAAAAATAAAAAAAAAAAAATAAAACAGGAGAATCCTTCTTTTAGATTTGAACAAGCAAAACACCTAATGGCCGAGTTTGGGACAAGACAATGGTGCATGAATTTTATATTAATAATAATAATAATATAAGGAATAAACCTTTGCTTAATGCTTTTTCCTAATGAAGAAATAAAGAATATTATACAAAATTAGCAGAGAAAAAAGGTGCTCGAATACCCTAATGCCCTAACAATTGGGCCAAAAATAAATTAAATTAGGACCCACATGTATGATTTATGGCACACAAATTTCAACTAGGAAATGTGCTCCAATGAAGGTGGGTTTATTGTCACCAAATGGTTTTGTGGAGAACCAAATTCCCAATAGTAGTACAGATTTTGTTTTTCTTTTTGAAGATAAATTTTTAGTTTTTGAGTTAGGCAGCGACACACCTGCAAGTTAAAAGGGTTATTTTTGTCGTCCACAAATGGTGTGTTAGAGGCGAATTATTCAATTGGGTTTGTTCTAAAATGGGAATATTTTTCTTCATTTAAATGATTATGTCAACACTCGGTTGGATATCATTATCAAAATATCTTGTANTATAATAATAATAATAATATAAGGAATAAACCTTTGCTTAATGCTTTTTCCTAATGAAGAAATAAAGAATATTATACAAAATTAGCAGAGAAAAAAGGTGCTCCAATACCCTAATACCCTAACAATTGGGCCAAAAATAAATTAAATTAGGACCCACATGTATGATTTATGGCACACAAATTTCAACTAGGAAATGTGCTCCAATGAAGGTGGGTTTATTGTCACCAAATGGTTTTGTGGAGAACCAAATTCCCAATAGTAGTACAGATTTTGTTTTTCTTTTTGAAGATAAATTTTTAGTTTTTGAGTTAGGCAGCGACACACCTGCAAGTTAAAAGGGTTATTTTTGTCGTCCACAAATGGTGTGTTAGAGGCGAATTATTCAATTGGGTTTGTTCTAAAATGGGAATATTTTTCTTCATTTAAATGATTATGTCAACACTCGGTTGGATATCATTATCAAAATATCTTGTAGCACTAAGCTTTCTCAGATTTATTTGACATCCCATTTTGTGCTTGTGTAAATGATTGAATGAAAATTAGTGTTTGATCATTTGAAACTCTGAATATAACCTCACCCTTGTGGCTGGATAACAAACCTTTTAGTCACCTAGGTTAACTATATTTATGAGGTCTTATGTTCGAATTGTAGGAAATGTATCTATCATATTTGTGCAATTATCTTAGTCTATTGAGTTTGTAAAATACCCTGTAATCCTAAAGATTAGACAGACTCCAATGTGAGCTTGAAGATACCTCAAGCTCCAACGTAGACCTAGATACCTCGTATACTTCAAAAAAAAAAAAAAAAAATACCTCGTATACTTCAAAAAAAAAAAAAAAAAAAAAAACTGAATATAGAAGGTAACCCACTTATCACTACTAATTATTTTGATCAAACCCGTACATGAAATAAGCCAAAAACGTAGTATATTTTAACTTAAGCCACAAGTGAATTTCTTTATCAAGCCCATTTCTTTGTGTTAAAACATATACACCAGAATACAGCAAAATACTGATTAGTTTAGACGCCTATAATCTAATTACAGAGCACATGAATAGTCATATTTGCAAATCACCACTCCAACAATCATACGTTGCAACCTTCGTATATACTCATTTTGCTCCCACACTAAATAGCTCCTAACATGACAAGAAATCAGATATGTTTACCTTGCCAATACATTAAGGTAAACAGTAATCAGTAATCCTCAAGCTTTGAGGGCAGGGCTCTCGGCCGTCAGGTTGGGAAAATAAAATGCAGTTTTGAGTAAAATCTCTTCATCATCTAACTCACTCGATGAGACAAAAATTTATCGTTCGACAGCAAGCTCCTGATAAAGATGTTGTCATTCTAATTTCTTCCCAGATCAGAGTATTTTTCCCACTTGTTATAGATTCCACGTTCTATCTAAGGTGTTGCCTGTAAGTCAGAATACTCACACTTTCTCGTTTCAGTAAACAACTTCACTTTCTCCTGCCGTGATAGGTTCCACTCCCAGAATAATGGTGATACCCGTGGCGTGATCCACCAGTTCTCCTGGTGGTTCCTTCCCATGTGCTGCCACGGGTGGAAATTCTGCCGCTTGGTATCCAATTAGAATTCAATGTTTGGGTCCCCAGTCCATTGTTATCCTCTTCCCTATCATTGTATTCCAAGACCAGTCTCTTGATGTCTTGTTTCTCTTCCAACTCTGCAGCTTCTTTCTGTTTCGTGCTCTGCACAAGTGAACAATCCCGAGGAATGTACATTTGTTTTGTTTGTTGCTTGTTCCCACGCTTCACAAGAACTTTAACCTGAACCTCCTTGCCTTCTCCAGGGTCCTCATCCAATGCCTCATCACCACTTTCCCCTCCAACTGTTCTACCATGATGATCCTTGGAGGACCCTTCAAACACATTCATTGGTATCATCATATTTAAAGTAGGTCGGCCTCGTAGCTCTTGCTTGCGCTGCTCCATGCTCTCCTGAACGACAGCCCTAAGCTCCAGCTCAAAATTCGCTATTTCCTCAGGATCGACCTCTGCCTGCTTCTGTCTAAAATGAACTTCATCATCCTCATCAGAAGCAGGACCACCACCCTCATCATGCTCTTCCTCCTCATTGTCACCTTCTTCATCACGATTCTCTTCGTCCAACTCATCTTCTTCATGCCCGTCTGGGTCAATGGTGCCACTCCCAGAATCACTGTCACTGTCACCAGTGTCCTCGTGCAATCTACCATTTTCTTCAGCACTGCACACAGTATTTTGTCCGTTAGCAGAGCTGGCATTGGCAGCACTCCGGCTTGAAGGCTTTTCAGCGTCAGAATGCTTCTCACTACTAGCTTTTTCAGTTGATACAGTACGTTCATGCTCCTCTAGTTCTACAAGAGCTGCATTAACTTCTTCAATGGAAGAGTATCGTGTCATGTTGGGACGCAATTCCGCAAATAAATCCTGCAAACACTTCAATTTATGAGCTTATTTAATCACAAAGACACAATACTATAATCTCAAACAAATCTTGATGAGGCATTCAGAGAATAGCAAGGAATGCCAGCTTGAAATTAGGGGAAGATACAAGTCTTCTAATTGAGGTCGAAAGGTCATTAATCTTTGCAAGATCCTAGCTCAAGTATAATTGCAACCAAACCAAGTGAAGATTCTGATGCCAGAGGTGCCAAGATTTCCAAGCCAAATAGCCAAAGGTCATAGTTGATACCCAACTTGTTCAATTTCGATTATTTTTTCATAAGAAATGAGTGAAATTATCATATATGAAAAGGATGACAATTTTTATTCTGATAATTGAACATCTGTAATCAGTTGCAAACTCATTACACTGTTTGAGCAATTCGCAGACGTTCGCAAAGCTAGCAAATAAAGGGATGCAAAAAGGATAAGGTTTAGAAAAGCAAAATCAAGGAGAAACCAAATGATTTTACAATTAATAAGGTTGCCAGCAAACAATTGGGATAAAAGAGAAAAAAGCTGGGAGCGCGGACAGGGGAAGACAATATATCAAAGCACAGTGAATTCCCAAATTCAGTAGCATAGTTTCTTATATATTCAGTAATTAAAACAAGCTGTGTCACTAACCTGCAAATCAAATTCAACATCCAGCGGAAGCACACCCTTGCTGAGAATATACCTCTGGAAGTGTATCAAGAACCGATCAAGTTTCCTTTTAGAAGAGCCTCGGTCAAAATAATGCCCACAAGTCTCCAAAAGAGTGATAACCATCCTGATGCGGAAACAATCTTCTGGTGGATCCAGCACATCTTGCTAATGAATTATCAAAAGTGTATTACCATCCGAGAGAAAGTTAATTATCGATTTGTGACCAAACATGACAAAGATTATTTTATATGATAAAAGGAAAAAAATGAAAACAGTAATATATTAAAATCTTCTTAATTCTCTCACTACTGGTGCTACAAAGTTGCAAGCATTTTGTTTGCTTTGTAATTAAATTATGAAGTTCTTAGCCACAGATTTTCTAGCATAAATTCATCATGTGTCAATATTAGCTAGAATAAAGTATATATATACATACACATAGAAGATTAAGTGCTCCATTGACGAGCTTCTCCGCTTTTGTGGCCAAATTAATTTTCTCAAAACAATGATCATTGCCACGTGATTTGAACAAGAATATAGAAATAAATAATCCTTACCTCCGGTGTGCCATGACCGAAGACAAGAACCAAATAAAGTGTATCAAAAACAACAGATGAGTCCACGTGTTCATAGTTGTATAGCTCCCCTAAAAACCTCATATGAGCAATGCGTCTCTGCTGCATTCCATATTCATTCAATTCTAGCCCAAGCCTAATCTCCTCCAAAACCTGAAAATAAATGATGCAAATGTTATTAAAATAACAGAAACTTCAAAGACAACAGCATGCACATAGTCATACTGAATTGTTTAAGACTTAAATTACAAGCTTAAAGATGATTTTAGAGACTACTAAGCAATGATCAAGAATATACAACCAACTTATTCACACTAGATGCTATTGCATTTGCAAAATGTTATGACAGAAAAATCATGTGCTTTTGCTGGCATAAATTCCTTAGACCAGCATTTTCTACATTACATCATCCACATGCTTAACTTAGAAATTCTAAAACCAACATAATTATAAGCCAATATAAACAAACTGCAGGATCAATATAAACAAACTGCAGGATCAAATGAACATTAAAACAAAGATCAGGAATATAACTGAAAAAAACAATATTTCCTTGTCAAATCAAGATCATCCTTTATCAGGGACAACTACAACAAAATTTGGAATAATGAAAAAGCAAACCTCATCAACAACAGCTACAGCAAATTCATCATGATAGCGACTCAAACCAGCCGTGAGAGAAGCAATCAAATGAATCTGACCATACTTTCCTTTATGAACCTTCATAAAGCACTTCAAAAGGTACGACTCACAATCACTCCATGGTAATTTACGAAGTTGCCTCAGAACATGCTCAATGGAAGACTTATCAAGATCTGAAAATAATAACTTCCTGATATACTGCAAAAAGAATAAGATAGGTTAATTCCACAAATGAGATAAAAAATAACTGAATACATTGAAACTGTAACACGAAAACAATATATACCTGATGCAATGGTGGACGAACTTTAGAGACTCGTGCAGATCTTTCAGGCGGTTTGCACAGGTAGTAAGCATTTTCCACAAGAGTGGCATGCCGAGGATCCAAATTTTTGACATTCTTCAAGCGCATCAATATCTCCAGCATGTTGGCCATCCGTACAGTAGTTTCAGGAGACCGATACAGAAAGCGACCACATGTCTCAAGAAGATTGCAAGCCACATCAATATTATGATGGGTGAAATCATCTAAACAAGCCTGGCAGAAAAAGAAAGCAAAGATCATTAAGTAACATTCCACTAAGAATTATAAACCTCTGAAGACAAAGCAAAGAGGCTACAAGAATTTTGCCAAATATTACAACAGCATAATAACACAGCACTCATGCATAAAAATGGCTTAGAGGTCTGTATAAAAAGTATACCATGTCCAACACACAAAAGCATTCAAAAAGTACTTCATATCCACTAAATAATTGGAAATTATCTATAAATCAGTTACTCAGGTTATACCTTCAGGCAACTAAAAACAAGGCCAGCTGGTGCAATTTTGAACTTGCACAGTTCTCCAATAAACCTAATATTTCTGATCTTTGTTTCAATATTCATTTGATCCTGCGATGGTAAATTAGATTTAAGTTCGGAATGACATATAATTGACAAAAAGAATATTAAAAAACAGTTGACAAGATATATAAGAAGTTGACTAGCCATCCAAAATTATAAAACCTTTTTATTTATCAAGAAGTTGAACTCTTCCTCCAACAACTGTAAGAGCATGGTAGAGACATCCTTCATACAAGTTGACAGCGTGGCAACCATGCGTGAGTAGTATGGCAACAGCTCCAGAGATGTTCTGGGGACATTAAACGATGCCCTCACAAGCCTTTTTCGATTTGATTTTGAGTTTAAATAACAGAACTCCACCTGAAAGAAAAAAAAAAAGACACAATCTTCACTATAGATGTGCACATTAACACCAAAGGGGAAAGGAGAGAGAGAAATTTAAACGGTAAAGGTCTGAAAGAGGTATAATTACAGTCAACTGATCTATAAGGTCACGGCTGACACAGCCAGGGAGTCTCTGCAATAAAGCATCCAAATTTGTCCCTTCAACGCATTTAAGTTTCTCCTTTTCGGTTTCCCCTTTTCTATCTGGATCTTTTTCTTTCCCTTTCTCCTTGTCTGGATCTTTTTCTTTCCCTTTTTCCTTGTCTGGATCTTTAGCTTTCTCTTTATCCTTTTCTTCCTTATCCTTTCCCTTCTCAATGGTTTTTCCCTCCTGCAAAGGGCCAGAGTCCGCAGATATCTCTGCAGTATCTTGAGTAGCCAATTGACCTTGTTCTGATTCAGTAGCTGGTTCCTTACATAGGAAAAAACTTTGAATCAGCAATCCTCAATGAACCATTGAACTAATATTCTATAGCAAAGCTTACATACGCATTACATCATGATGCTAAATAACTAACGCTCATATAAAACTGTAAATGCATAATGTATTAATGCAGATCACACACAAGGCTCAGATAGAAGCTGACCAAGAAACAAAAGAAATCCAGTGTTTGGATCCAAATTCTATTGTGGAGCTAAATCTAGTATAGCTACCATTCAAACTTATCTTTATATTGAGGCAGATAAATGAATTTTCTGATTTTAGGAATCACGAAGAGTGGTATTTTCTGAACCAGTAAAAAACAAATAAGTATGAAAATGTGCAATTGAAGCCAATTAATTACTTTTAAGGTAATGTAAAATGTCAGGTATAATTTGCACATATTACAGAAGCAACTTGCACAAATGATCGCGTAACCCAAAAAACTTAAGCTCTAACACATCCCATTACATGCACTTGTACAATAACCAAATACAACCAAAACCACTAAAACAACCATAACCAAAGCACAACTTATCATAATTTAAAGAATAATATAAGGAGATTCGAACACAAATCCACCAAGTCAACTTAGCTGATACCAAATTAAGTAACCACTTAACCCAAAAAACTTGGGCTTTAACATTTTCAATTAATTATATGCACATCACAGTATTTTAACTCAGAAAATGGTCAAAGTCAGAGAAAAAGAGTTAAAATTCTGATTCCTTACAGTTGGTAGCTCTTGTGTCTTGGCAGATTGCTCATTCACTTTCGGCTCTGCTTCTCCCAGTAATACTGCTGGAACAAATGCTCTGGATAGAAAATAGATAAATTCTCACTCATAATTCAATCAATAGAAAATTTCTATAATTATTGACACCTATCCCCTGACAACTCTTCTTTATCTTTTTGATAAGTGAGTATTAAGTATACGGCAAAACAACCTGAGATCTGGTAAGCACTCGTAGAAAGCCCTAGTATCTTCATCATCCCACACAGCTTCAAGTACAGAAGGATCTTTTCCAGAAGCAGGAGAAGAAGCATCCTCTCCAGAAGCGACTCTAGTTGTGTGAACATCCTCTGGCATGACTGGAGGCTGCATGTCAAGTGCTTCAGCTAGACTGTAAAGCAAAAAAAAATTACAAGCTAAGTGAATTACAAAAACCAAATCATTTAATTAGAATACAAAAACCAAATCATTTAATTAGAAAACTTATTAATTACATGAGGATATCAAACTGTAACTATAAGGAAACCTGTTTTAAACCTCCTTACAGCAGTACGAAGGGAAAAGTAATCTTACTTGATGCAAGTGCTCAAGTGCAAACATGACAAAAAAATTTCAAGCCAACATTCATAATACAAGAAATTGGAAAAAAAAAAAAAAAAGTCCTTTAAACAGAAGAATAAGACAACACTACTTGGATGCAGAACACATCTCATTCAAACTCTAAGCACTCATATCTTTCTAATGGTGAGACAGTGGTCCTGCCTGTCTCTTGACATACTGCCTATGCCTATGGCAAAAAGTCTCCACAAATTGAAATGTAAAGAAAAAAATCAACCCACCAAGCATGAACTTCAAAGAAAAGCATTTAAAAGCTGCGAAAACCTAAATTTGCTTGTATAGTTAAATCTTGTTCAATTTGGATGACTAAATTCATCAACACAACTACAATGATCAATAAACCTGCTATATATTCTGACTTCAACCAAGTCAAACTAGACACGTAAATAGAGCAGTGGATGGAGTGTAATCAATTTTCCAGTGGCAAAGAAATGAAACATGAACTACTTACGAGGAGACATTACGGTACAACTGGTCATAAGATTTCCGTAGCTTTTCATACGAAGAGATATTTTCTTCACTGAGCTCTCCTTTAGCATTTAAGATTTTTGCATTTTCATGCTCCATTTGGCGAAGTGACTGTCAAGGATTAAAAATTAAACCAATTAAAGGATACAAAAAGAAATAAAATAGATAATCAAGCATGAAAGAGAATTACATTCTTAATCTGAATAATTGTAAATTAACAGGATCTGGGCCAATTAAACTACCCAAAAAAAGGAAAAAAAGCTTTGGATTTTATGCACAATGCTGCAAAATTCTTACAGTATGCTCAGACTGAAGAAGTTCTTGGACAGCATCATAATATGTATTAAATGCCTTCCTGAATACTTTCTTTTGGTCTGCTGTGATATTAAGGCCCTTATAAAACTGTTGCAAAATATCAGGCATATAAGTTACCAAACAGATCACAACTGCAATTTAACAGCAAAAACAAGTTCTCTATAAAAATAATTAAAAAAAGAGCAAAAATGCAATTGTCAAATGACAATATCAAAATCAATCAAACAGGGCAAGAATCAGATGATCACTACAAACATTGATTACTTTCCACTACAGCAACAAAAAGATTAGAGATGTCAATGTAATACCACTGAATCGCAAAGAAAAACATTGGATTTAGAAAAGTACAGATTATTTAAAAAGAAAAAACATAGTTTTACCTCTTCATAAATTTCTTGACCAGAGAGTGGAAGTCCTAAAAAAATTCTTCCTTGGCGAGCAAAACTAGCAAGGAGTGTCAAATTTGTCTGTGTGGTATCTCGGTCTTTTAAGTGTTCTACACTAGTAAGATCTTTGATGATATTAATGAAAATGCTGTTATCTTCTATAATTCCGACAAAGTACAGTTCCAAGAGGAGTTTCAAAGTGCTGCGCTTCTTCATGGCCCTCAAGTTCCTGTCGGCATCCATGTCATCTCCAGATTTTCCAGGAAAGAAAACTTTCAAGAGCCCTTGAATAAGGCTTGGCGAGAAATCTTTATATCGTTGATGAAGCAAAGAGCATATCTTTGAAAGCAGACTAAGAATTAGATACAGTACATAGGAGAGGAAAAATACGTGGGTATTACTGGTAAATACAGGATGTGATCACAGAAATTTTTGTTCAAACCCGTAAATGCTACCTGAGCTGCTGCTTGTATATCTGAAGATCTAAGCTTGGCATCAGAAATAGCTGTCACAGCTTCACTAACAAATTTGCTAAGATTGATACTTTTCAACTCATCCATCAGCCCTTCTCGCTGTTCCTCATTTATCTGCTTTAATTTTTTAATAATGGCTGTGTTGCGCTTAATGCTGGAGTCCAGGGTTCTGAGGAATCCTGAATCTGAAACCAAGACTGAACTTTATCAGATATAAGCTCCAGTGACTCATATAACTCCTGAAATACGTTCTTTAATCCAAAAGTTGTGAAAAGAGCATATCTTGTTCAATAAATCAAATTGTAGCATAAATTAGCAACGATGAAGTTAATTTCATAAGCATCACATATTATGGCATCTATGTTGGCGAAAAGGAGAAACTTTAAGATTCTAACAAGAATATTTTAGAAAATCAACCTACAAAGTGAATACAGCTCATCATCCAAATAAGTCCTCATGAATCGAGATTGCCATAAAAGTTTCTTATTAAAGCCTACTTATATTACAAATTAAAATAATCATACTTAAAGAAGTAAAAACTTTAAAACAACTACAAATATCAAACAAGCCAATTGCCAATATAAAACTAAAGCAAAATGATGTTCATAACCAAAACCAGTAACAATGAAATAAACTAAAGCTGCAAGATTATCAAAATATGCAGAATGGGGATTGTATCTCTTTGTGAGTAATCAAGAATGCAAATTGTATCTTTTCGTAATCAATCAATCATTAATTATCATATCTGACCATCAAACCGAAGAAATATTACAAACCTGGCCTTTCAGGATTCAAGTTGCTTTGGCGAAGAGCCATTTTTGCCTCAATTGATTTCTTAATTTCCTCAAGGCGAGCAGCAGCTTCCTGTAACAAAAAGAAAGTAATTTTCTGAACTAAGTCATTCGCATCTTTGAACAAATATTCATACAAGAATAAAACAAGAAGCAAGCAATAAATTCCCTCAAATTTGATCAACTTATTTAGGATTTTCAATCAATTAAGAGATCATAATCCAATATATCAGAAACATCAAAATGACCACAGGAGTAGAACAATCTAGCATTTAGGATCAGTTCCTAAATTTGATAAGAAAGACATAGTTTCTAGGTACCTGACCACTAAACAAATCTCAATTACGTATATCTTTTGCCAAATCAGAAATTTGGCCAAATGGCCTATTATTTCTTCTAAACTACAAACAGGGTACTCAACCAAGCAACAGAAAGGTCAAGTCACAACTCTTAAGCTTCAGTGTCAGTTATGCCAATCTCACCTCATCACCTTGCTTGTCACGATGTTCACCTGCAACACGATATTCATCTTCGTGGTGATCCATGATCCTAATGATATTCCCAAACAGAGACCTACATAACAATCAATAAAGGGATCAATTGGCAAACATTAGTACCTAAAAAGGGTTTTTTGAGAAAAAAAAACAGTATAAGAATTTTCTAAGTCCTCCTGATTGTGAGATAAAACAGTTCGACCTAAATCAATTTCACATGGTACAAGAATAATACCAATTACAGGGCAGTACCTAAACAAACATATTAACTATGTATTGAGCTACAGCATCAAATATAAAGAAACTAGAAAACAACAGAAAAAATCTGTTGAAACACATGACCATGGTCCCACACAATAAGGGCACACATTAACTTAAGTTGTACATAATGTAATACCAAGAAGAAAAACAAATTGGTTCAAGAACATAAGAGTCAAAAGTAGAAACTTCGAGTAACATTATATCTCAAGTTGCATTATTGTAAATAGAATGACAACATTTTTTTAAGCACTTCTAAAAACATACGACCACCCAAAGCTAGAAACTTTAGAACTAAACAAAAATGGACATCCACCCGTTTAAAAATCCTCAAGACCGAGCAACCTGTCTTCATCTGTCGTTCATTCTTCGATAATTGAAATTCCAAGCTACTATGAAATTTTTGTTACATGTCATAATCCATGCTTTATCTAACTATAAAAAAAAAAAAAAAAAAAAAAAAAATAAAATAAATAAATCTTCATCATCTAGAAGTTCATGAAACAATATTCATGCGCATACACAGTGATACCCTAAGAATGACAGTGATGGCATAATTTTCTTTCCATTTTCATTCAACATATCACTATAACGATTTCTCAAGAAATAAAAGGGAAAAACAAAACCCCTAGAGTGCTCAATTTGGAGAAAGTGAAAGGTAAAATTTCGAGGACTTCACGTAAATTCATAAAAAAATGATAAATTTGAAGGGTAATAAGACTTACTCAAACTGGAGACAAAGCCGATCGATGACGATGTAGATTCGTTGAAGCTTATAATCTCTGAAACAATTGTTTTTGAGCGCTGTGGAATTATTTTAAAAAAAATTGCATGCGTGGGCGCTGATTATGAGATTAGGGTTTACGTGATCGGAGAATGAACTGAAGAAGAACGGAGGGAGAACGAGAGTGGGTGAGAGAGCGAACGTTAAGAGCAGGATTGAGAAGCGGTTCGCATCTGGATCACTTGTGGTTCAGAGTATGGATTCGAGTTCGACCCGTTTAGACGCATGCAGTTGGGCCGAGCCCACTTTCTTCTTCTTTGAAAAATGGTATTGGGCCTAAGCTCACTTAAAAGCTCAATATTTTTGTTTAAGCAAGTGATTTTTAGTCCATCAAATTCATCGGTAGTTCCAAATTCCAATTGTGGGATAATTTTCTCCCCAACTTTAATGATATATTTTCATTAAACAAAAAAAAAAAATATATATATATTTGAATAAAAAAATTGTTTCAATGATTTTGAAGATTCAGAGTTAGGGTTTATGATTAATAATTAAAGTAAAAATGAAAAGAAAAATATAAAATAAATTGCAAGTGTATTTAGAAAATATTATATCATTATTAATAATTTTTATTAAGGTTAAATTGTCTAAACGAATAAATATTTAAAAATGAGGGATAATGCACCAAAGTTAAAGTAACATGTGTATCAAGGTTTATTTATTTATTTATTATTTTTTTTATAATTGAGGGTGTTTAGGCCAGCTTATCCGTATCTCAACTAATCCCTAGGACTTTAAAGTTAATGATCGAGTAAGTTTCCAGTGGCCACCTCTATTAGATGCGGAGGTGGATCGAACTCAATACATCTTGAGTAATATACCCAAGAGTTCTAGTTGACCCTCGACCACCCACTGGTGTTTGTGCATCAAGGGTTTTTATTTTGTTTGAGATTTCGATAATAATGCATAAATTGACTCGACCCAAATTGAAGGTTCTAAACTGTGCGTCGATAAGTAACACCAATGTTTAAGAGGTTGAGTGTTTGTGAATTTTTCTAATAATAATAATAATAAATGTTTAAAATAAAATAACTAAACCAGCCCTAACGATTTAACTCCCATGGTAAATTATCAAATCCTAGAAAAATGATCGGGTAAGCTTCTAGTGGCCACCTTTATTAGGGATCTAGGTAGATCGAACTCAAGACCTCTTGAGTAATACTTCCAAAAGTTATATTTCCAATTAAACCTTAGGCAAAGGATCCTGAATCCTAATTAATTACTACTTGTTATATTAATTATTCCCATAACTACAAGTCTACGAGGAATCCTAATCCTAATCAATCACTACAAGGGATTCTCAAATATATAACGGAATACCCTTTAATCTCCATTCCATTATTAATCTTTCTCTGTTACGTATAGAGTGTCACAGCCATGGTTTCTTCCACTCGCAAAAGCTCCCCTTTCTTTCCCTCTTTCATCGTTCTTTCTTTGTTATTATCTTCTTCCTTTATCACTGCTTATGGTGCTCAACCATCAGTGGTGAAGGGTTGTCCATTTAACGCCGTATATAGCATCGGCGTCAAAGATTCTTCTACCTCTCCCCCATGGTCGATCAACTAGCTTCTATCTTCCATCTCCCTCCTCCAAAACCCTACACAAACAAAGACGACGGCAAACTACACTACGGTGCAACCTTCGCTACCGAAAACTTCATCGCTTTGGGTAAAAATTTTCTTCAACGAAGAGGCGTTCAAGTTTCATCCCCGACGCCTTTACCGATTCCTTAACATCACAGCTTATTTCTTTCACCAATTATCTTAGTCCCATCTGCTTTACTTATCCCGAGTGCCTGAAAAAGCTCGAAAGGGCTCTGTTTGTGGCGGATCTTGGAAGCAACGATTACAAATACGCGTTCATGAACGGCAAAACACCTGAAGAAGTTCAAATTTTTATTCCATCTTTGCAAAAAATCATCGGAACTTTGGAGTCGGAATTGATAAAAGCCGGTGTTTCCAATATCTTAGTCCCTGGAATGCTACCATTGGGTTGCTTCCCCGGCTATGTTTCTCTACTTCATAACGTTGATCCAACCGATTTTGACGCTCACAATTGCCACATAGGGTTGAACAACGTTGCGATCAATTACAATAATCATGTGAAGGAGAGTCTTTCTGAAATGAGAGACAATCGTTTTTACTCTCATGCTCTTTCTGAAGAAGGTGATCGTCCTTATAGTCAGACTCTGTATGGGGACTACTACAATGCTTTCATGGAAGTTCTTCGTGACAACTCCAACAACCCAAAGGCTTTGTTTCATCAGGACGGGTTTCATCTCTCAGAGAAAACGAACAAGTACATTGTGGGAAAGCTGCTCAGCGGAAACAACTTTTTGCAGCCAGAAATTCACCTTCCGGACATCACGCATTGTGTTATGTAGAAGCTTCATGGAGATCCTTGTTCAAGTCGTTTGTTTATCACTTTGATTCTTGTACTCTGTTTGATAGATGTTTAAGATCAGAAACATTTGCTGTGTAGCCTTTTATTAATTATAATATAAAGATCCATTTTTTTCATATCAAAATGCAGCATCATTCTTTTCCATATCTTCTTTTCAAGTTTCAATATAAACCCTTTATCAGAAGCTTGATTATGTTAGTGCTAGCATTAGCAATGCTAGGAGGAGATCTAATCTGATGTTTGTTTTTTATTTTGTTTACAAAGGATTTCATGATTTTGTATATAAACGAGTCTTTTTTTTTTTTTTTGTTTAAACGAGTTGTCGTTCATTACAAATTCTTTGTGGTAAGTATCAAATAGGTCAACTAAGAGTCAGAGATGTAAGGGCTAATATGATATACTCTAAATCTATAGGGGATTAACTGATATTCATGACATGTTGCCTAGGAAGAAACCGACCTGTCGATGGTACTCTTTGATAAATATCATCTATCTTCCTCGGGGTAGACCTGGCAAAATGGTCGGGTGGGCTGGAAACGGGCCCAAAATGATTAGATCTAAATGGGCCCTAAAATTGGACCCAAATTCAACCTTATACGGGTACAGATGGACCCATGGGTACCGGTATTGTTTACTCCAGTTTTGAATTTCGAGAGCACTTACACCCCCACAATTCTTGAAGTTTTCATTTTTACAATCACACCCACACAATCAACTATTACAAATTCAATTCAATTCAATTCAGCATAAAAGTTCACAAATTAAACCTGCAAATACAGAAGGCAAAACATACCATGAAGGTCTCATGAGTGAAAAATAGTTCCACCTTAATTTTGTCGAAAATAGAAGTTGCCACCCCTTGATCAAAACCAGGATAACTTTTGTATTTTCAGGAAAAAAAAAAAAAAAATGTGGGAACATGTATTGCACTCGTCTCATATATTTTTGGGTGGTTCCCTTGTGAAATACCCCACAAAAATATACATTATCTTTCACAGGTTTCTCAGTCTAAACTGTGACACTGCCATTCAATTCAATCTTTATCCTTGATGTCTTTCAGCAAACCTTTCTTTTCTTTTATCGTCGTAGTTGACAACAAAAGAGCTCTCAAAGTTTTCTTAGAAAATAAAATCTAGAAATAGCGCCATTAGACGTGTGAAGCTTTACTTCTTTGACTTGTACAGTTCTTTGAGTTGACACTGGTTTTAAATTTCAGTGAAACTTTAAAAAACTTGAATCTTTGACTGAGTAAAGGAATAGTATAGATTTAATAAACAGAATAGCTACCCCATTGCAATTGCATACTCTTTTAACATGTTGAAATTAACCATATGAGTATCAACTGAAACGTGCATTCCATTCTTTTGACTCTGATTAATGCATCATTTAACAAAGGCCGGTTTCCCTTTCTTCATATTTGCTGTTTTACTTTCTGTGACTCAAATTTTTTATCATATTTCTTCAGCCATGTGTTTCTAAACAGATTAAAACAAGGTTCTCAAAGCAAGATCTTGACTGCTCAGTCGGAAAAAAAAAAAAAAACAACCGGTATCAGATGGTGACCCCAAAGATGATCGGAGAAAATTAAGTCATGGCCTTGCCCCACATTATATACTGTTGCCTGGAGGGTGTTTGACTATCTAAGTTTCTAGAACTTTTAAATTTTAATATTGTTTGGATACTATGAAGTGAAGCCCTTCAATCAGAGTGGGGTTGCTCTTGTCACATCCGTTGACTGGTTTTGTAATAATATTAAATTTTGAAGTTAGACTTGAATGGCTTTTCCTTTTTAATGCCCTTTGAACCTTTATGAGTTTTGGATGATGTGGTCCTGACTTGTCTGCGACCTCATATTCATCTACTGACTCAATTCGAAGCTTTTATATTCCTTCTTTTGTCAGCAAAGACCCTTGTGGGTACTAAAAAAATAAAAGGAGTCTAGATGAATTTTCACATACCAAAAATACATATGGTACTATGTGGTAGTGACAAAAATAAAGAATTCATTCTAACAGATGTTTTACAGTAAAAGATTGATGATGGCGAAGTTCGATCCTAACTCAGGATGAACGCTGGCGGCATGCTTAACACATGTAAGTCGGACAAGAAATGGTGTTTGCAGTAGTTAACAGGTGAGTAACATGTAAGAACTTGACCTTGGGAGGGGAATAACAAGTGGAAACGGCTGCTAACACCTTGTTGGTGAGGCAGTAACTTATTAAGACAATGATGTCCTAAAGGATGATGAATCACATTGGAACTGAGACATTGCAGAATGAAGATTGAAGCTTTCGTTTTCATCTAGAAGCACAGCACTGATTGGGGACTTTCAAAACTCTTTTTGGTTATATGGAAAGAGGTGAGTTTGACTCTTTTGAGTTTTGACAGATCCTTTTCACCAAACATCACCATATACGTATCTTTCCAAAATCCAACTGTTAATTTTTATCCTTTCCCCATTCCTTTGCCTTTGGCAAGTGGCTAAAATTGGTGTAGATAATTGTGGAAAATTATGCACTAGATTTTTGTAATTGTGCAGGTGTTTAATATGGTCATTAACTTGATAAATATATTATAATTAGGAATCTAATTTAAATCCCATCTTTGTAATCATCTCTTTAAAGTGAACATCTTTTGGCGTTTGACTAAAGCTTTCTTCCTACTGTAAAGAGTGACACCATTGGTGAAGTGTATTTCTACAAGTCCATGAAATGCGATTTGAGTCCATTCTCATGAAAATGAATAAAAAAAAATACAAAAATAACAGCTGTCCGAGACTCTGATGCACTGTTTGATGTCACCATAAGCAAACATTAGAGAAAAATTTCATCTTCTTATTAGAATTTAAGATGTGTTCACACTGTGTAGAAGCTTTTGACCAATAAGGAAATTTTGTTATAAATAAACCTCACCAGTCTGTGGCAGTCACTTGTTTCACTTCATTCTTCTTCTTTTTCCTTAATAGTGACTGAAAGTTTCCATTTTTTTCCTCTTCATTTTATAAGAAACAGAGTAACTCTGTTTCTAAACAGAGCCTTCTGGGTCTATCTCAACCTCTCTTTTGATTCCAAACAATGGAAAATGAAGGCAACAAAACAACAAAAGAAATTAGAATCCCTCCAAAGAGAGGTCAAATTAAAGCAAGGATACTTAAGACAGTATTGGCTGCAGTAACTCTGCGTGGAGGAGCAAAAAATAAAGGAAATGGTGGAAGCTCTTCTTCAACAACTACACCACCGCAAAGTAACTACACTTCAGAAGGGCATTCAGATTCTTAAACCAGATGACAGATTCAGGAGTATCATCATAACTTTTTTTTCTTTTTTGGAGCCTTGCAGTGTTTTTTCTTCTTCCTTTCATTTGTTATTTTGATAAAGAGGGGAAGCACTGTGTGTATGTGTGAGAATTAGCCTTAAATTTATGTTGTTGTAGCAGATGTTAGATTTATAAGTTATGTTGTTATGGTCTTTGGGTCTGTAAATTATGAATTTGGCTGGTGGGCTCCCTTTTGTTTTTCTCTGTGAAATATATATCTTTCATTGTCAATTTCCTTTGAATTTTGCATATTACGCATGTTATAATAATAAAATAAACCTAAGTTTCTGTTCCATGGTTTTTGGGTGCTCCTGAAGTTGCTTATATTATTTTAGGACTGAAAATTGCTGTTGTTTTGTCCATCTTTTTGTTTCTAGTGCAAAGTGCCCAAAGAACAGTTCTTGGTTTTGCTCAGTGAATTGATGATTTGGAATGAGAAAAATCTTGTTCCATCTCTTCCATAAGATAATAACTTTGAAGCTTTAAGATTTGCTACAGATTCAGCAACTGTAAATAGATTCTTGAATATGATCTCAATTTATTGATCTCTTCTTTAATCTTTCTGGGTTGGTTATTTTTTATTATTATTTACTTTTAGTTGTCTTTGATTTTGCTTGCCAACTTTGAAGGTTATATTCTAGACTTTCTAGTGACTGGATTCCTTTTATCTGGATTAAAAAAGGGGAAAAAAACAAAAATCATCCTTCTTAATATCAATAATGAGTAAAAGACTTCTTCCCACCCAAGGTTTGCCTCAGTTACATTTTCCACCTAAAAAGTTTCAAAATACCACTTTCTCATCCAAAGTTTATATTCCGTTAATATCCAAAATACATTTCACTTTCTTAGCCAGCGTTCGTCGAGTTACTAGGAGCCAGGGTAAGAGAGTTTTTGTAGAGTAGAGGCTGGTGGATCAAATGATGGTGACCGATTGAATATTCACCATCGGAATCAACAAAAAATCAATTAAGATTAGAAAATACTAGCTTTACGATGACTGACAATTGATAAGAAATTAGGTGTCGTAGTAAGAGGGGTTTTATAGAAAGGAGATCAGATGTTCAAATGGTGGTGATGAAGAGAATTTTCAACGTCGGAATTGGCTTTGGATAGTAACGGATATTAACTTTGGGTGGGAAAGTGGTACTTTAAAACTTCTTGGATGGGAAATGTGATTAAGGAAAACCTTGGGTGGGAAAAAAGTCGTTTTACTCTATCAATAATAGTGTAAAAGAAAGAAAAATCCATCCACTACAATTATTAAAATGCAAGTAAGATTAAAAGATAAAGTTGATTCTAGACAAAACCCTTCTCAAAAATCTTTTAAAAAATACTGCTGTAGTCATTAAGAGACAAATGAATCTTATTCTGTGTTTAGAGCTTGATCAATAATAAACTTGTATAGTTGTATTATAGTTTTAAATGCATAGAAAAAGACAGATGTATTACCATTTACTAATGGGATTAGTAAACCATTTCTTTGGATAAGCATAGACTTTTCAAGTGCAAATATGTGATAGCTGGACCAAACTCCTTTTACGGGGGAGGAAGTTTGATTTGTGCTTATACTTTCAATCTTTTGCTGTCAAGAATGTGGCTCTTATTTTGGTCGTTGTTCCTCTTCATATTCTTCGCTGAAAACAGGTTTATTCAAGTGGGAAAAAAGTAGTCTGATGAAACACAAACGA